AAAAAAAAAAAAAAAGAACTAGGGCATCCTACTTCATATCACAAAGATATGAGGTGACACAACAATATTTGCCGTATGGAAATAGAAGGAAAAATGTTCTCGGCCTTTCCTAAATCACTCTTCCACCACAGGTTGCTGCACCCTCTTCTTGTTCACGTGGGAATTTTGTCCCACCACAAAGACAGAGAAGCTCATTGATCTTTATCTTCATGAATCAGTCAGATCCCCTAGAATCTTATTCACATGCTTAAAAAAAAAAATTAAAAGGGTTGATTTATTTATTTGAGAGACAGAATGCGCATGTGCGTGCAAGCATGTAAGTGTGGGGCAGGGGCAGAGGGAGAGAATCTCAAACAGACTCCCCACTGAGGGGGGACCCCATTGTGGGGCTTGATCTCATGACCCAGGAGATCATGACCTGAGGGGATACCAAGAATCCGATGCTTAACTGACTGAACCATCCAGGCACCCCTTCACATGCTTTTTTGATCCTAAAATTTCTATTTTTCTTAAACTCGTTGACTCTAAGATACCTGCTGTACAGGATTTAAATACAAATCTGTCCTCCTTACTGGATATCATGTGTATTTTAATTCATGGATTCATTTATTCATTCATTCTTGGGCCCTCACACACAAAGCTTTTGTGGCATGATACACACATTTTAACTACGTATCAGAGTGTCTTCACTTGCCACTTCTTTTGATGTAGCATCGCTGTACATCCAGTAACAATGTTACATTGCAAGCAAGAGAAAGCAGTAAACAGAACTAAGGGAAGGAAGGATCTGGCTGTCAGTATAAATGTAAATAGCAGCTGTTCCATTCAAACTGTTTTAAAAACTACCACACGGTGAGAGCTTTGCATATAATGGGCCAGAATCAGGTTTTAGCATAAAATTTAGGAGACATGCTGCCACCCTCCTGTTTGCACCGTTTCACTTCTCCCACTACTGCACAAGCGGTGGAGGACAAATATATATGTAATAGTGTCTGTGAAAATGTTACCCAAATATCTTTCAGTGACAATATTGCAATATGCAGATATATCAATATACATAACTCAACATAATGTACGAAGATGACACTGTGAACGGTTATTGTGTTAGGGGCAAGATACTTGTAGTCTCAAGATCACATGAGCTTATCCTCAGTCATGTGCTATGGCCACTGTTTCAGATTTTATACCTCAATTTTGAAATGTCTTGAATTATCTCCCGTCTGTCATTTTTCTAGCAAAAGTGGCCATCCTATATGGCATTACGATGTCTTTTTTTTTTAAGATTTTATTCATTTGCCAGAGAGAGAGAGCACAAGCAGGGAGAGCTGCAGGCAGAGGAAGAAGGAGGCTTCCTGCTGAGCAAGGAGCCTGATGTGGGACTCGATCCCAGGACCCTGGGATTATGACCCGAGCCTAAGGCAGATGCTTAACAGACTGAGCCACCCAGGCATCCCACAATGTCTTTTTTTTTTTTAATCTTTGTGCCATTTTTCTGCCAAATATGCACACATTTTCTTTCCTAATCAGTTAGGGGGATAAACTACTGGTAATAAGCACTTTAAAAATATTTCCTGTACATTGCAGCTTTATCTAAAACCGTGACCCTTCAATAACTAGCACTTCCCAGACTCATCAATATAGGGACCCTTTCCATGTAGTTATGTCCTCTTCCTATTTAGAATGGATGGCTAACAAGGATGTTTCCTACTACATGAATATGAAAATCTTAACTAAAAACCTGCCACTGCTTTGAAATGGGGGAGGGGGTTGGAAATCATTGATCCGTAATTCACAAGACATTATCTGATCTAATTCCCCATGTTGACCCCCTTCTCCCCCTTTGAATGTCTGTAAAACACTTTATCTGTAACACTCATGTGATACGTGTAGTACAATGGCTTTATTATGTATAATAGCAACATAATGTCAGTAAACATGAGCAGATGATAGTGTTCATATAGGTTGCAATGTAAATTAGAAAGTGCTACTAGGGTGTTTTTTGCTACTATTATGGGGATGACTGTCATTGTCCTAGAAACAGGGACAGCCCTTTTATATCCCTCATTACTCCTACATAGCACTGCACCTTGAGCAAAGTAAATGCTGAGTATATGTGCAATGAGAGCTTGCTTTTTTTTTTTTAAGTTTTCATGCTCAGGTGAAATTTGACTTGAGCTTTAAAACTACTATTGTTTTCAAGGTTGAACTATATTGCCAAACCTTACTTTGCAGATAAGCCATTTTTACCTCACTTCTTACCAATTTACTCAGATTTAAGATGTTTGTGAAAGGCTAAAAGTTATTTATGATTTTATTATACTTAAAAAGCATTGTGTTTTTACTAATGTACATACGAAGCATTGTGCACTGTGCTAAGAGGTACTGAAGCCTACCATGAAGCCTGATGATGCTGGTACTATGATCACACACTAGCGTCCTTGCAAACATAATGGTATGAAATTGATAACATTCACTGCTCTCCCCTTTCCAAAGTGTTTCAGGTTCTTTGGAAAGTTACTTGGACCCTTTGTCAATATTTTGATAGATCCCCTGGGAAAGATATCTGAATATTTCAAATATACTAAGGATAGATTGTAGGTCGATCAACAACAGAATGGCAAGCCCATGGAGCTTTTTCCCTCGGGCATTAATGTATAGGATCTGAGAAGCCAAACTGGGCTCGAGCCTCTAGGGAAGTCAAAACTCCTAGATCATTGTTCTTGTTTTCCCCTTCAGTTTCTCACGTACATTTGCCTGGTAAGTAGCTTCTCTGTTCCTCAATTTCTCCTCATCCTACTCTACCCCCACTCCAAAAGTCCTTTCCCTAGGATTATTTAGAATAAATAGGAAAAAATGATCCATCTGACCACAAGGAGGGATGAGGCTTGAGGAAAATATAAAGTGCTACTCTTACTGAGTTTAGACATTTGTGGAAAACTGACTTTTATTGTCTGCCAACAGGAGAAGCTTTACACTTGGCTCGGGATTTTGGCTACACTTGTGAAACAGAGTTTCCAGCCAAAGCTGTAGGAGAACATCTTGCCAGACAACATATGGAACAGAAAGAACAGACAGCAAGAAAAAAGATGATCCTAGCGACCAAGTAAGCAGAATGGGAAGTCTCTATATGCCTTCTCTCAGGTTTTCCGTTTTCTTTGAGTGAGGGAAAGAGTCTAGAAAGTACCAGTTCTCTAAAGCAGAGGGTCTCAAGCTTCAGCAGCTAGATGTACTACACAAGGACATACCCTCACCCCCGGCCTTGCACCCATAGCAAGATTTACAAACTACCTTTGTTTAGTGATGATGAAAGTTTTTAGAAAACCTCTCCAGAATATGCAGGAGTTCTTAGGAGAAAAGTATGTTTAGGAAATGTAGATTCCAGGCAAATGTGTCATTAGCTGCTATGTGATTCGGTCGAAACCACTCACTGCGTCTTAACACATGAGGGTGAAGATCTTAAAACACTATGAATGTTTGGAGAATATGACAAAAGAGGACCCAGGTGTGTGAGAGGTAACATGGAGACCTCTGGGGCCAAGAATCACCATCAGTGTCCCTATCTTTTCTGGTGTATAATTAAGCAAATAATCCCTATACTGTCTCATCTCCTGTGGTGATACTGTCGAAAAGAAAAGGTATAATGTATGTGAAAGCTTCTGAAAAGTGTAAAGTTCAACAAAAATGTGAATTAAAATAATGACAGAGATGACATAGGAAAGGGGAGCTTGCATAAGATGAGTTCAGATTCCCTCAAACTTGAAAGTTCTTTGATAAGGAATGGAAGAACTACCATTGAGTGTGTAAAAACCCAACAGAACAGTAAATGCTGCTGCAAGTCATGTTCAAATTTTTAGAGAAAAACTTTTCAGGCAATAGCTAATTCTTGCTCTCTTTATTAAAATAAGTTATGCTACATAATAGACTATTAATAATCTTATCTAATTTTCTAACTGTATGTTCAGAGTTTAGAACTAATAGTCCCAGGTGGGTTAAGTTATTTTTTCTAAATTAGTTTCTTATTTGGGGAAAACTTTCAAAGAGACAATATAAAGTAGGTAAGTGTTAAAGACGTTGTTTCTCAGAAACTGATGGAAAAGGACTTCACAACAGGTTGGCTAAAATTTAAATGGCCTCAAAATGCATAAAACCAAAACTAAATATTTCTTCTACCTACTTCTAATGTCACATAGATCTTTTTTTGTTTTTACAAGTTTAAGGGTTTAAATGGGAAACCTACCACCCAACAGTTTTGCCCACGATATTGAGTCCCATTTTTGGGATTTGTTCTGCTTGTGGCTGGCACTCTTTGGGTTTGGGATCTATCTGTGTAGTGCTTTTCTGAGAGTAACTTGGATGATTCATCTTGCCCCAGAGAGAAGGAAAACAAAAGATGGTGGCAAAAGGAGAAAAAGGGTAAAACAATGAAACGAAAGGGAAAGGACCAGCAGAGAAAGAAAATGAAGAACAAGGGTTAGAGAAAGAAAATTAGAAGGCAGGTATAAAATGTGGATTTAAGATTTCGGGATAGACCTTATTCTGTGCAAGCTCCTAAAAACTTGCTGGTAGAAAGAGCTGAACCTGGATTTTTTGTGTGGCTAATCTCCTGGGGGATCTTTCTTTCTGTTTTGCTTCTACTCTTGCCCTCTTGCAAGGCAAGACCCAGAGGGGTCTTCATCAGTAACATTTTAGTTTCTCCAGGAGAAACTGAAAGTACACGTAGTCAGTTTGAATCCTTAATACCATCTGGGAGAACTATAAAGACATGTTACAGATCAAGAGAAGAATACACTGCTAGAAGTTAGGTAGCGTCCTCCAGGTGTTCCCAAAGCATAGTATCCTTCTAGCTGGCAGGATTATACAGATTTTCCCAATATGTGTACCCATGTGACACCTCTGAATGACAGTGTTATCCCCAGATACAAATTATCCAAGAAAAGACACCTTTATATTTTCTGCCTCAAAAGTAGTTGGTTAGAGTTTCATCATGCATATTCTAAGACTTTCACTCCCTAATCCAGAGAAATCCTTCTTTTTGTCCTCCTTTCCCCAGGATGGTTCCATAGCTGCCCATCTCTACCACCCACAGCAATGCCACTATTAACATTCAGAACACAAGTACCCACTTTCTGGAGAGTTCCCATACTCTATTTAAACGTCTGTGCGTTCAAACTGATGTGGAGATTTTGTTTTCACCGAAGTCCAGTGTTAGAAGAACTTGAGGGGATTAAGAGAAGTACTTCCATATTTGTCAAAGTTATGCTGAGACGTCTATTTTAGAGTAGTGGATTCAACTCAGGAGTAGTATTTTCCTTTTACCTAGGATCTCAATAATGTCTATTTTTAGATGATATTTGGGACATTGGTTTCATAAAATATTGTGAGAACATGTACTTTGATCCTTCTGCCCATAGCTGGACATTTGCAAACCATTAAATAATCAAGAATTGGGTTCACTGATTCCAGTTACCTTAGTTTATATGAGTAAATAGGTCATAAACATCTAGAAATTAAGAGACAGGCTGTATAATTTTTTTCTGTCTTTTTGGTTGTGTATATCCATCCATCTTCTTATAGACAATGGGAAACAAGAATGAGAGACTATGTAGTCATAGCAAATATATACAAGACAAGTAGTCATCAATGTAAGTGGATAAATTAAGGGATGTGTAGGAATAACATGCTTTTTCTGCAATATATGAATGGATCCAACATGTGTTCTGAGAAGTTTCTAATTTTCTAATAGTAAAGCTTTGGATATTTTCAATTAAAATGCTCAACGTTGAAATTAAGTAGCCTACACGGATACTCATTACATTCTAGTTAGCTCATCTTTGTTCACAAGACTGTGACAATTGCATCAAAAATCATATGAAATTCAAAATCATTGGATGAGAGATCCAATAACTGATCTGCATTGTTGGATTGGCTTACATGTTTCTCTTTTAACTCTATGAATAACAGATTCAGTTGTATTTAATTATTTTGCCAACTGCATAATTAAATGAAAGGCCCATTGACTAAGGGTCGAGCTTCCTAATTCCTCTTAATTTCTTGTGTTTTGTTGATTAACCAAATACGTTGGTGTAATTAGACAGTTATATAGGAGGGACAGAAACTGAATTAGACCATTTTTGAATTCTAAAAATGTACTGGACAAAACCTTTGATTCATGGAAAACACATTTAAACTTCTTCATTGAATTTAGGACTAAATATGCTTAACATTTGATCTGCATCAGGGTAAAGCAGAATCGTTAACATGTTTTAATTGTTACTATAACAATAATTGTCAAAAGGAGAAACACAGAACTTGAAATTCAGACATCAGCTTAAAAATTATGTCCTTAAGGACAGTGACGTAAGTGATAAAGTTAGAATTTGTGATTCACCAAAGATCATCTTGTGTTACATAATTCATAATGTGACATTTTGTTTTGAGAAATGAGTATTTCTTATTGTAGCCTTATAAATAAAATTTTAAATGAGGACAAAACTAGTCATAAAAATAATATCTCTGTAATTGTCATAATGAGATGATGATCATAATTGCCTAAGGGGGACTACAGAATTGTTCTGTTTTTAAGTCAAGAAGCTGTCCTAAGTCAGAATTAAGAGCAGCAGAATCAAATACCAGAGGTTGAGAATTCTGCAACTTCTCCCGATACAGCTTCCTGTGTAGTGTAGCTGAATTGCTTAGCACAAGTTAAATTTTTCCACACTTTGTCTTTTCCTCATTTCTTCATCCCCTTTAAGTTTATTGTAACTTGCTATAATGTTTATACAGTAAGGAAGTTGATTTACCAGCTTATAAACTAATTTTTTCAATTATCCAAATAATTCTGATATCATACCACAAGAACTAAAGCAACATTTCAACCTTTATTTGAATTTTTAAATATATTTTAATCTGGTATAAAATTAAAAGACTCATCTTTAAATAGCCCCAATATACATATTTTTTGTAGTAATGGAACATACTGATAGTCTATCAAATAGTAATTTATATTGCCAGTCTGAAAAATGATAGCATGAATATGGATTTAAAATTTTAGTTAGAACTTTCCTAAAAAATAAAGATAAGAGTATATTTAACTCTATTCAGTAACACAAAGCACAACAGATAACGATGCCCTACCAAATGGCATCACTTGATGCCACCGACTGGCATCAAAAACTTAGTTTAAATTGCTATTAAAACATAGGCAATACACCTGCAAGTCAATCAACTAAGTCTCTAACTCAGAACAGAAAAAGTGATAAATTCAGATAAAATATTCTCAATGAAAGTATACACATGCAGTTGTTAAAAGCATGCATTTAGATGCTGTATCTCAGAGACTAAAACATTAGCTGGAGGATATGGAGGATCCTGTTTGATTTAGAGCAGATAAGGGCCATCTCTGGTTTTTTGTTTGTTTTTCCTCTCCTTATGACCCACTTTTACTTTCAACTGTGTTCACAAAGAAAAGGGCAAATTCTATAAACTCACACAATATGAAAATAACACTGGTAATAACCCTGGGGATTATTGCTCATTTGAAAAATCACAAATGGTCTTTAGAAGAAATTTAGGCACCTAATTATAAAACTCTACTGGCTTTAACTCACTGGTAAATTATTTGTGATTCAAGACATTTTGTCACTTTTTGGTAGTTATTTGTTAATGACACAAATGATTTGGAGAGAAATTAGTGGCTGGGTCCATGGAGTAACATTCACTTGGAATAATTTGACTCTCTTGTACTTACTTGTCTTTGGCTAGCTACATTGATAATTATAATCAGGGCTAATGATTAGATTTTTATGACTACCCGTTGTAAATCCAGACCAAAAAAAAACCCCTAATCACTATCACATTATCCCTTGGCTATGGAGTGGCCTCATATTAGATGATGTATTCTTTTGAGCAATTCCTTGTCTGTCCTTTATTTCATTCTTCAATTACTGTATTAATCTAGTAAGTTTTGTTGTTGTTTAAAAAAAAACTGTTTTCTTTATATGTTTTGCTTCTTTAGAATTGTATCATTTAGACTATGTATCACAAAGGCTTTGCTGTTATTCAATATATATAGTAATGTGGTAATTAAAACTCATCAGAAATCACAATTATTTAATGTAAGAAAAGCAGCAGATTTTCTCTTAAGCATACCTTTTGCAAGAAACCATATTACATGGGACATAACAATCATTTTTGTGAGGCTAATGGGCTGAATTGTGGTAAATGATTACATACTTTAAATATTAAAATATGAATTCAGTTCACAAGAGTCTGAAATCTAATGAAATGCTGGGAAACAGGATTTTCCAAAGCCTACTTGAATCACCGCTCTGAAAGAAGCCCATAACTTGATTTAAACTTTTTACAAATGTGATATCCCCTCCAAAAATCATATTTTAATATTTTAAAAAAACAATGATTAAGTGTGATCCTTTCATATAGATTTTTCCTTGTGCTGAGGTTGATCTGTGAATATTCACCTTAAAAACGAACACGGTTTTGTCAGTGCTTGTGGGCTGTTGATCACTTCCAAAGTTTTACAATTTTCCTATAGTACTTGGGAGCAAAGTTGCTGTTGTGAACCTCATCTGTATGTTGTAGATGGAACTTTGGAGGTTGATTTATGAAAGTTGACCTAGTCCTCTTTTATTTTATTTATTTATTTATTTATTTATTTATTTATTTTTTATTTTTTTTTTAATCTAGTCCTCTTTTAAATGAGAAAACAAACCTTTGGTAAAATATCATGGGATGAAATGAAAGCCCCATGTTAAGGGTTCAACTTCAATGATGAATCTTTCATTTTAGACAAATTTGTAAAGAATTCCAAGACCTCTTGAGCCAAGATAGATCACCATTGGGATCCTCCAGACCCACTCCAATTCTAGACCTTGACATCCAGAGACACTTAACACATTTCAGGTAAGACTGGCTTTCCAATCTCCTCAGACTCTCTTTTAAATTCTTAAACCATCTTTATTAACCCAGACATTTTTGTATTCCTGTCGCAGTTCCGTTTAGAGATGTTGCTTATATATTCATATAGTGACTGACTGAATCTTTTGAAATTGCAAGCATGTAAGATCAAATTATAAAAATAACTAATGCATGAAGCACTTTAGATCAGAAAGTTTAGTGTCTTTGTGCAATTTTCAGGAAATTGTGACTTTGAAAGTGAACACTATTATTTCAAGTAATGGCACTTTTGAATCAGGATTCTGAAATCATTCTTTATCTTGGTGAGGCACATTATTGAATGGACAGATATGACACAAATTAATGGGATATCATACACTGATTTTACAGGCATATGTTAATAATTTCTGCCCAATTAGAAGCTGCAAATGGTTCTTAAATGAGACCACACAAGTATATTTTAAAGCTCCTGGAATGTGTTATTGAAAGCATATTTAAAATTTTATTTTCTGAGATGCTTTGGAAAAGAATAGACTTTTTTTTTTTTCTGGTTAATTTATGCCCTAGAGACAATGTGGAAAGGAACAAGATAATTACTCAGGTAACTTCCAGTTTTAAAGCCCTAAAATTCTAATGCCTTACATAATATTTCTCATCAATGTAAAAAATATTTTATCCTCTTTTAACTATCATCATTCAGTTTAAAAAACAATGTTAAGCAGGGGTTCCTGGGTGGTTCAGTTAGCTAAGCATCTTGATCTCAGTTCAGGTCTTGATCTTAGGGTCTTGAGTTCAAGCCCCACATTGGGCTCCATCCTGGCTGTGGAGCCTACTTAAAACAAAACAAAGCAAACAAATAAAAACAATGTTAAATAAAGACTATTATACATTAAATTTTAAAATGTTTTCAGTACCTCTCACCAATGATAATGCTTTTGAGGAGGATACTCCCTTATATAAAATAATGGATATTTCAATGAGTTGGAATTTTATCTGCAACATCAGAGACTTTTAAATAGAATATTTTATTTTGCATCATGCCACAAGACTCCTTAAGATGTAGTAGATACATCTTTGGAGACTAAATTTAGGGTTTACCTTCTAAAAATGTACCAGATATACCAAAAATATATCTCACAGGACTTTTCTCCTAGCACTCAATTGGGTTAGTGAAAGTGAGTGTAATAAAACTGGTAGAAATTACAATGCCCAGAAGTTAAGGGGAAAAGGCTTTGGAGTCAATAGAACCATATTCAAATCCAGACCATCATACAGCTGAGCTGGGTAGTTTTGGGGTAACATGCATTCTTTCCAGCCCTCAGTTTCCCTAGCTTTAAATGGAATAAGAACCCTTTTATTATATGATGGTAGAGAGCAAACATGACATAATGCATATAGGCTGGCTCAGTCAGTAGAGCATGTGATTCTTGATCTTGGGGCCATGAGTTCAAGCCCCACGTGGGGCATAAAGCTTACTTTAAATAAATAAATAAATAAATAAAATGAGATAATGAATATAAAGTAAGCATTCAGTGAATGATGGGTTGTTTACTCCACCACCGATCCAAGTTTAGAAGGTATGGTTTGTCCCACTGTCATATCTGTACAAATGTTTTCCATATTTTTGTATCCACACTAAAGATATTTGTAATTTTTACAGAAGTTCAATTCCAAGCTTAATAATTTTTATACAAATTCAAGTCTTGATTTAAGGAAGTTTGTTACGTTACAAATACACTCTAAGGAAGAATTTATTGTTAAAACATAGAGAATTCAGATTTTATATCATAGCTACCAGGTTATTTCCAATTACAGGTGCCGCAGCCTTCATCAGACAGTGAGCTGTCCTTTTTCAGGCACAAAACAAAATACGGCATCAATGTGTAAATTGAATATTGGCGACAGTGTGAAATAAGTAGGCAAACCATGTGTTTGCTCAGCATAGGCACAATCTGCTAATTTGTTGATACTTGAGTTAGTTGCCAAATCAATGCCACAGAACTCCTTAGAGAAAACTTTCACTTCTAAGCTTGAGCTGTGTGTTTCCTTCCTGGGCTTTGTTTGCTCTCATTTACCTCCCCAGTATGCAGAATATGGTAACAAACTAGTCTGGTATTGTCCTGAAAAGAGCTACATATATTGAAAATTGCCCCCGCCCAGTTAAAAAAGAGCTTATATTTTGGATATACAACTCTCAAGATTATGTATGGCTGCAGATTCTCAATCACAACCATTTGAAATATACAGCCATACCTTAAACAATTTAAAACTACATGGTATATCTACTTATAAAAGTATCATCTATAAAAATTTTGTTATTATTATTTATATATTAATATACATGGGCATAAATATTGTATTGTTATAAATATTATTTATTAAGTGTTTTGATATCGGGAAGTTATGATTTCCTATTTATTAGGCCTTTTTAATATTTTCCAGATTTTTTATTTACTTTGCTTTAACTATATTCCAGATTATTTATTTTGATGAGCTGTTCTGATTTCATAGTGGAAGGTAGTAGGATGATAGAAATCACTTAACTGGTGGAGTTTTGGAATGTAGGTGAGGTTCAGTGGGGTGGAGTCCGGAGCTGATGACCAAGAAAGAATTCTTGAGGCGTCTTTAGTACAAAATGGTGGTTTATTAAAGCATGAGGACAGACCCGTGGGCAGAAAGAGCTGCTGCCCTGTGGTCTTGAGGAGTGGCTGATTATATACTCAGGAGTTGGGGAAGTGAGCACAAAGGGGGTGTCCAGAAGGACTGCCATATGCTAAAGACTCTCAGGATACTGGAGGCCTGGTTATTGTCAAGCCAAGGTTGTTTTTCCCTCTAATGAGGCACGAACATGAAGACAGTTGGGAGTTTCCTAGAGGAGTGTTACATTCCTCCTATCACACGTCCTTGTCAATGGGCTTCAGGTTCAAAAGAAATTCAATATTATTTACATTTCCTCTGCCTCAGCCTCCCTCAATTTCATGTAGGGGAAGATGTTAGGGCTTCAGGAAACTGAGTTATGGGTCTCTGGAAGTTAGGTTATTGATAAGAAAGCTCTTCCTTGTAAGTCACTAGGACATTTGTAAACTGAGGGAGACTTCTGTCCTGCAGGACTGTGATCTCCATCAGTTAACCATTTGTTTTTCCTTTAGGGCAGCCAGGAGTGCCTGAGGAATGTCACATATATCCCAAAGTGTGGGGGGGGTGGGGGTGGGTACTAGCTTCTGCTTTGTCCTCAGCTAGCCTTCTGCTCCCTCATCATAACTAAAATTCACTTTATAGCAAACTTCCTAAATTATATCTTTTTTACTGTGATAAAAAGCACTTAACATAAAATTTACCATCTTAACCATTTCTAAATGAACAATTTAGCAGTGTTAAGTGTATGCACAATGCTGCGCAACCACTCTCCAGAACTTTTTCATTTGGCAAATCTGAAACTCTGTAACCATTAAAAAACTCCCCATTTCCCCCCTTTCCCCCTGTCTCCTAGCCCATGGCAGCCACCATTCTACTTTCTGTCTCTATGATTTTAACTACTCTAGATGCGTCATATAAGTGGAATCATACAGTATGTCTTTTTGTGACTAGCTTATTTCACTCAGTATAATGTTCTCAAGGTTCATCTGTGTTGTAGCATGTGTCAGAATTTCCTTCCTTTTTAAAACTGAATAATATTCCATTGTATGTATATGTCACATTTGCTTATCTATTCATTCATTAATGGATACCCCTTGGCTGTTGTGAATAGTACTGCTATGAAAATGGGTATGCAAATCTCTCTTTGAGATTTTGCTTTCAATTCTTTTGGATATATACCCAGAAGTAGAATTACTATATAATATAGTAATTCTTTTTTAATTTTTTGAGAAACTGTCATAGACTTATAATACATGAAAGAGATTTTACAATAGAGGATTAAGCAGAGTACAGGTAATTACCTGGGATAATTAGGAAATGCTTTCGTCTTTCTATCCACAGTACTTGGCACATGGTGTGTACCCAATAAGTATGTTAATTGTTTTTCATAGTGGCTGCACCCTTTTACATTCCCACCAACAGGACACAAGGGTTCTCCTTCCCCCACATTCATGCCAACACTTACTATTTACTGTTTCTGTTTTTAATAGTGGCTATCCTAATGGGTATGAAGTGATATCTCATTGTGGTTTTGATTTGTATTTCCCTACTGATGAATGATGTGAAGCATCTTTGCATAAGCTTGTTGACCGTTTCTATGCCATTTTTTTGGAGAAAGGTCTAATCAAGTCTTTTACCCATTTTTAATCTGGTTATTTGCTTTTTTGTTGTTGAGTTGTAAATTCTTTATATATTCTGGATATTAGCCCCTTTTAGACATAGAATTTGCAAATACTTTCATTCTGTAGGTTGCCTTTTTATTCTGTTGATTATCTCCTTTGATGCATAGAAATTTTTATGTTGTTCAACTTGCCTTTTTTTTTTTTACTTTTGTTGCTTGTGCTTTTGGTGTCATAGCTCCAAAATCCTTGCCAAATCCAAAGTCATGAAGATTTCCCCCTGTTTTCTTCTAAGAGTTTTATAGTTGTGGGTCTTATGTTTAGGTCTTTAATGCATTTTGAGTTAATTTTTGTATATAAGGTAAGGTAGGTGTCCAGCTTCATTTCTCTTCATGTCTTAAACTATGTCTTTTTAAACAAAAGATACATGGTTGACATTTCCAATTAAAACCCAAATCGAAGTCTCCTGATACAGATCAAGTTTAAATGTATGTCTTTTTTTTTTACTGTGCATTTATTAAAAGAAGCCTCAATAGAATAACTTAATAGGACTATAAATGTCAGCTTGCTGCCTGACTTTGAAAAAGACTTCACTTTTTTTTTTTTTTTTAAGATTTTATTTATTTATTTGACAGAGAGAGACACAACGAGAG